TGGCTCCACCCCCTTTTGGGGCGATTTCAGTCAGATTGAAAATCGCCCAGAACTTCTGTCATAGACTCCCATGTAAAATCTATTTTTTTCAAATTTCAGAGCCTTCAATACAATCTCAATGGGTGTCTGTGGGCTTGCACTTACGCGCTTTCGTCACATGAACGTAACTAAGAAAAGAGAGGGTAGCAGCGTCAATCAATTCACTACTACTATCAACATGGCTAGGCTTCAGTGCAACTCGGTTGTGTCTTTGAAAGAATTTCCTTTTTGTCGGCGAACAAATGAAGATAAATTGGCAACGAAACAATTAGGACCTCCCAGACCAAATTTAATAATTCAACAGGTTTCTACTAAAGGCGGAAAGTCCTACACCCGAGGATTTTCCAAAAATTGGTACGAACGAAAAAAGACATTGCCACTCACTCAACTGGATGACGAGGGATACAGGCTAGCTGTCCGCCGCCACAACGATGAGGTTAGTGTTGATAATCACAAGTTTACTGGATGTGGATATGGTGTAATAAAGGCAGTTTATTCAGAGGTAAATATATCTGGAATCGCGTTCACGGACCCGTTCGTCAAACTCTTAAAAATGAACTTGGGCTGGGAATTGCCAGGAACCTCACGATAAGATATATGCATCAGCATTGCGAGTCTCATGATTCTATACGTATTGCGATTCGATACTGTGATTTTATTGCGCACCATATGTCTGTTGCAGAGGGATCAGAAAGCCATGAGAACGAGTTTTGATCAGTCATGGAAATAAAAGTGCTGAAAACAAATTGGCTCCCAATGTGAAAAGATTGAGAACAAGCTATGAAGGAACAATAATGGTGTTTTGGTGCAGGTACAGCCAACTAGCGCTAAAATATTGTGATATTGTCAATACAGTATATCGTAAAGTATCACTATGTAACTCGATTTCTTTCACCCCAATCCCTCAAATTAACGGTAAATAACTGAATTGTTTGCCCCACATTTAGCTAAGATGATTAGCTAGCCAGCTAAAATGTTTTAGTTAGTTAGCAGTCGCATCTACAATAGTTTACTGTCAATAACATGTCTCCAAAAATGACGTGGTGTCTCCAATTGTGTTGACATTTTACAATTGCAATGCGCATCCATGAGTATCCACTTTCTGTAGCTCAGCTGGTAGAGCATGGTGCTTGTAACGCCAAGGTAGTGGGTTCGATCCCCGGGACCACCCATACACAAAAATGTATGCACGCATGACTGTAAGTCGCTTTGGATAAAAGCGTCTGCTAAATGGCATATTATTATTATTATTATTATTATTATTATTATTATTATTATCTGAAGAGAGCCCCGAAACATTGTGTGCAGACATTTTATGCAATAAATGAAGTAGGTTCAATCTAGTAGTTCTGATCTTCTGATTGGTCCTGATGAGTTGGGCGAGGTCCCCTGCAGGCTACTGTCACTGTTGCATTGGCTCTGAGTCGGGTTCTCTGTCTTCAAATGTTCAGCCTAAGAGAGGGGATTTTTGTGTGTGTGTGTGTGTGTGTGTGTTTAACAGTGATGATGTGTGTGTGTGTGTTTAACAGTGATGATGTGTGTGTGTGTGTGTGTTTGTGTGTGTGTGTGTCCTCAGAGCAAGAACTCGTGAGTTGGAAGAACTGAGAGGCCTATGGCGTGGGTGTTGTCCTTGGCCACCTGCTGACAAGGCTGACAAGATAGGACCCTTTTGTCCATTGTTATTGGATAGGAACAGAACTTATAACCAGCTCCTGACCTAAATAGATCTTAGCACAACATTTTACTCAACATATCATATTCCATATTCACTATAACAAATATATTTACTACGACATTAGCAAGAACCGCCACATCCTCAGCCGGCTAATCCAGTGTGTGAAGTTTTGCGGAGTGTTTGAGTTAGCTTTGCGAGGCAAAGATGAAACTGAGGGCTCCACCAACCCTGGTAAGCCAACACTTTTGAGATCAGTCAATAAATGCTTCTGGTATTGACTTATATGCTGCCCCTGTCTTCATGTTGTTGCTGGACATATCTTTTTTTAAATGTGTGTAGGTCACCTAAATCATCAGAAAAATTGCCCCTCCTGAGAATTTTTTCAGGAGCCGCCACTGCTTGCTGTGATAAACCATTAGACTTTTCTAAGGACAGACTGTGTTCTGCACAGCATGTACACATGGCAATATGTGAACAGATAACTTGCTCTCTCCATGCTTTCCCAATCATCCCACCCGCACCCACTCCTCTGACGCCGACACAAAGACAAATCTAAATGGACGGAAGAGGTTTTAATATGAAAAGTATTTTTATTCTGTTCTGCTTACAGTACAGCACAGTATTGTCTTTCCAGTGGTGCGGCAGCCCAACGTGACCACCGTGTTCTGCCCCAGTATGGCACATTGATTCTCACACAGTGACGCAGTGCAAGTCCGTCTAGACACAGTGTGGAGTAAAGACCGCGCAGGGTTAGCGGATAGAGACAGCGCTGGACGGGGCGCTACAGTGGGGATTTTATGGAGGAACACAGTGTGTTTTTGTTTAGTTCAGCACAACAGATGCAGCTTTGCAGAGAGAAAGCACACACCGCAGTCCCGGTAAGGCTCACCATGGAGAGTATACTGCAGCATGATGCAAAAAAGCCTGTTGATGCCCGCTAGGCTATATCGTGTTTAAAGAAGTAGCTGTACATGTCAACTCATTGGTCCAGTTGAAATTCAGGCCCAGTATCTCACCAGACGGTGATGTTGTTGGACATTCTCTGCCCTGGTAAAATACCTTATAATCCAATAGTTTTAATAATGTGTTACAGCCAAGGCCTAAACTCACACTACTACAGTGACACGGTCGTCTGACACACACCTCAGTCACATCGCAAATATAATTGTTAACTAATCATGGTTGATGGTCGGTAAGAACATAGTTAAGTACTGGTCTCTGATTTCACTGGGTTTTGAGACAAGGGAGGACAGACAAAAGACAGCTTCATAGATAATACTATACATTTAGTTGACAAACTTAACGTATAATATCTTATCTTTGAAATATATGATTATATATAGATATGCTATTATTGAGATGAAAGAAATATTCACAGATACTTAATAAAAAATAGAACAGTTTACAATTGCAGACACTCATCAACACAACAAATAGACATGAGGGGCAGAGATTTCGGTTAATTTTGTGGTACAAATACCTTGGCAGGTAACATTTCGCCCACGGTTAGCCTTGTCATTGGATTCTTGTAAGCTGTTGATTGTAACAAGCAAAGCACTGCTTCCATTGTGTTCCTATAGCTCTTGGGTTAGCCAGGTTTTAAGAATGAAAACCTATACTTTTAGCAACAGCGAGCGCTCCCAGTTGTGGGTGAATAAAAGGAGACATTTCCTTCACATGGAAAATTAATATCTTATCTAATGGCACTGGAATGATAAACAATATCCCCATATCAAGATGCTAAACAACAATTTATCTAATGCTACCCAACTCCACAAATACATATGTGATACACATCTAGATATTCAAAGAAATGCAGACAAACTTTACACAACAATTTTGTGTTCACTTTTTTTCTTCAGCTTATTAGCTAAACAGACTATATGGAGAAGATGGAACTAGCCTTGTGGGTTACTGACAACATGCACAAAAAGTCGTAACAGTATTCACTCTCTGCTACTCAACTTCCTGTTGCTAATGCTAAAGGTGGGTGGAAAACTGGCTCATTTGAAAGTACATCTGACTATGCAGGTATCAGCTTTGCAGTCAAATTGCTATAAATAAGCTAGCTCTTGATTACGGATTTACAAATGCATCTCTGGTAGCATCCTTTAGGCACCTATCATGTTGACATCATTACGGGGACATGGGAGAATTAATTCTGACCATCTGTGTGGCCACATGTCCGACAATCCCATCTAGCATTTACCCAATGGTTTTCCACATAGTGTCCCCCGAAAATGCTACAATCTTAAAGTGTCTTCATAGTTGCAGCAGACTAGGTCAAGGCTACATTCTGTCTTATGGGTGGATAGGCTGCCAATGACGTTAGGTAGTTGTAAAACATTTCGCGTGTACCCAGTATAGTACAGCACAGTGCTTACATTTTGTAATAATTAATATTTGTCTCATATTATAATGAAAAAAAAAATGTATGCACTCACTAACTGTAAGTCGCTCTGGATAAGAGCGTCTACTAAATGACTAAAATGTAAAAAATGTAAATAATAACACATATAGTAAAATAACCTTTTAAAATATAAAATGCATGAATTGTTGGTGTGCAGGTAATGTATTGCTCAAGAGGGACATGAATGGGGGAGTACCTGTGGTATAAATGAAACAGCATTGTATGTAAGCTCCACTGAAGTTTAGCACAGTATAAGATCAGTCACAGTCGGCTTACCCTGTTGTCAAGAATACAAACACGGTAAAACACAGACACACAGAATATCAAATATGAGTTTGAGAGGGTTAATGGGGATAACAGAGAGGGCTAGCTGCTATTCTATTCTCCCTAAAAGTGAAATATAGAACATACATGACCTCAGACTTCACAGTTCTGTGAGGTGTAAACCGTTAAAGGAAAGTTAGGGGTTAATGTTAAGGGATGTAAGTAAAATGTTTCTGCATTGGAGCCCTCAGTAGGGAGGTCTATGAATGAGTACCTGAACCCTCAAGAGCAAATATAATTTAACAATAATAACCACTTCACTTCAAGACCCAAAGACACGACGTGTCAGGACGACGGCCCCATTTCTGAGATCCCACTTCTGACACCAATTTCATTTAACCAACAACACATGTAGTCTTTCAGATACTCTGACCGGAATGAAGAGAGTCTCAGTAAACATGACATTGCTGTGCACTCCCTCTGACTGGACAATGGGGGTTGTGCAAGAGTTATAGGGGGCTGAGTTACAGGACTGCTGTTGTCACACAGTCAGGACCCAAGGTTTCTGAATAGGTCAGCGTTTCCTGCCCAGGTAGGTGTCTATGATTTGCCTCACACCTCGCTCTCCACACTGGAGAAGTGTGCGGACCCCCTCCGTGAGCAGAGGCTCTTGGCCTTGAGGGGCAGGTGAGGTGACTGTAACCTTTGGGGCTGGGGTACTGAGCGCAGTCTCTGGTACAGGAGTTTGGCACTAGCAGAAGCCATAGAAGACGGCTGGGGGGCGCCTGGGGTGGAAGATACTACAGAGGGAGATGAGACCGAAGAGGAAGAGGTGGGAAGAGGGACGTGGATGGGATGGGATGCAGAGAGAGGGGCAGGAAGGGCTGGGAGTGTTGGTGGAGGGAGGGAGGGGATGAGGGCCTGCGATGTAGAGGGCTGCCGAATGCGGTCCGTCCGCTGTGTTCGCTGGATGCTGAGATTGGACTGGCTTCCCGATTTGGGTTGATTCTGGGTCCGGTCGGGCTTGGAGGAATGCCGTTTGGAATTGGCGCTGCTCCCGAAACGTTGACAGTGTAGAAATAGCTCCTCCTGGCTACGAGAGCTCACCCTGGCCCATTTCGAGTGAGCGTGTTCATGTTCGAGGGCAGATTGGCAGTTGCAAGCCACATAACCTCGCCCTTTGTCCTTCCTTTTCCCTTTCTTCTCCTCCTTCACGGGAAGCTTGTCCACGGACCAGTATCTTCGAGGAGCTGGTGGTGTCAATGGAGGTGGAGGCCATTGTGTACCACCTATCCTCCCTGAACCCCAGGCTCCACCTGATCCCCAGCTACCTTCCCCTGCTATCTCTGCTCCCCCCCATCCCTCCCCATGCCTCAATAACGAGTCATCCCTACTGTTTATGCTGCCGGCTTTTTCTCTGGCGGGATAAGTGTCGAAAAACCAACCTCCCCCTCCTATGCCCCCAACCGCTCTACCCTCATGACCCTCCCAGTACCTTTCGAACTTTCCAAATTCTCCCGAGGAGCCGTCGTCGTCTGAATAGATGCCGACCACCTTATCGCGTTCTCTTTCGGACTCTGATGCGGTCCTTCTTCTTCTTTCGTGTCTCTTCTCTTGCTCCACTTTTCTCCTTTGCTCCTCGGAATCGTCATCCTCATCTTCGGAATCCCACTCATGAAACGACAGACCTTCTTTGGAGTGAACCTCCACTCTCTCGTTCCTGCCCAACAGGGGGCGCTTCTCCCCTTCTTTCCGTAGGGCCTCTCTATCTGAACCCTTACTCCTGCACCTGGATGAGAAAGGGATCAGTGGTAGAAATGCAGATGAAGGAGTCTCTGAGGATGGGTTTCCCGCTCCCCAGAATTTGACAGAGGTTGAGGGTTTACTGGAGCTCTGGTACTGCTTGCTGGAACTAGAAGGCCTACCTGCATGCCTGTGGCGAGAGTGAGGACGTATGTGCCTTTCCTTGCCTCTAATGTCGTCTCCATCATCTCTTTCCTTATCCTCTCTCTCTCTCTCTCTCCTCTCTTCATCCCTTGGAATATCCCATCCATAACTTCTGATAGAACTTTCACTCTTTTTCCGCATTGAGTCACGCCTCGGAACAGAGTAGGAGGAGTAGGCCTCTTGTGTTATCGCTTTGAGCTGCTCTCCCTTCTCACCATCTCCCTCCTCGTGCTCTGATCGCTTGCCCCGATCTCTTCTCTTCACCTTCTCCTCTTTCTTCCTCTTCTTCTTCACTTTACGCCGCTTGCGCTCCCGCCCTCTCTCCTTTTCCTCTCTCTTTTTTTTCTTCCGGCCTTTCTTCCTTCTCTTTCTCTCCCTTTCTCTCTCTTTGTGATGTCGTTTCTCCTCCTTCCCCTCAGCCCTGGTTCCTGTTCCTCTACGTCTTTCTCTCTCGCCCCAGGAGGTCCACCACTCCTGCAGCTGGGCTAGCTGGCTCCCAGCCCTCTCTCTCTCATACTGTAGACGAGGCTTGCGGGGTGGTACAGGCGGAGGGGGTGGACTGCAAGGCAGTGAGCGAGAGGACATGCGTCGGGATTTGCCCTTGCTCCGTCCTAGCAGGAGGCTAGACTCCTCTGTCAGCTCATCAGAGTCATAGACGTCCTCGACATCCCTACTGCCAGCCCTGTACTTAAAACTCTGGGACGATGTGTATGAGGTGTTGGAGGATGAGGGTGAGTTGGAGCGTGAGAGGGAGATGGAGGATGAGGACGAGGATGAACTGGATGAGGTGGAGGAGCAGGAGCTGGAGGTGTAGAGGGCGGAGTGAGAGGGAGTGGTAGGGGTAGTGTGGGCAGGGGACGAGACAGGGACAGGCAATGGGAGTGGGGGAGGGCGACGGCCTTGCCTGCCACCTCCATCCCTTGCGCCGTATCGCCCTCCCCCTCTTCTCCCCAGGGGGAGGATGTTCTCATACAGAGGCCCCCCGGAGCCCTTTCTTTTAGGGAGGCTGCCTCTTCTCCAAAATGGCGGCCGATGTGGGGATGAGGGGAGCGGTAGAGGGGGCTTAGACATGAAGTGCCAAGGGGGCGGTCCTTTAGAAGGTAGCCATGGCATTCCTGAGGACTTTGTCCCCCTCTGGTTCGTTTTGGGGGTTTGAGATCCACCTGTTTGTGGGTCAGCATTTGCCCCTAAGCCTTCTGGATCGATCGGGCCATAGTATCGCTTGTATTCATCCAGGCCACCGTCCCCTCCACTGGCTCCCCCAGCCCAATGAGGGTGCAAGCCCTGTTGAAACTGTGCCATGTCTGGGATCCCACCGCTGCCACCAATAGGTTTGTCCGTGCTGGGCTTGGGACGGTTCCAGCGGTCTACAACAGCCAATCTGCGGTCATGGCGAGGCAGAAAAGTGGAGCACGGCATAGGACCCTCCAAAAGGGGACTGTTTGATGGCCCAAGGGCCATTGCAGAGTGCCCAGTAGTTGGTGGAGATGCAGCAGGAAGCATGCTGTATGCTTGCTGCTGTTGCTGCTGCTGCTGTTGCTGCTGGTGATGATGCATCTGCTGCTGCTGCACCATGGCAAGGGTAGTGTTACAGGTTACAGCCGCTGAGATGTGGGATTGGGGTGGAGGCGGCATTGTGGGAACACTATGATATAGGGGAAGTGTGTTTTTGAGGCCTCCAGAGATGGTTTCATCTTCAAACTTGCAGCAACTGTACATACCCTGGGTAGAGATAGAAGGGAAAGCTAATTAGGATACAGCTAGCAAACTACACATCCCAGTATCCCTTGATGAGAATATTGATACTTAAGTCTCGTTACATATGTACATATGTTGTGGCAGAAATGTAGCAGAAATGTGTCCCCATAGACGTACCTCAGTGTCTGCATTTACAGTGCACTCAAGCTTCAGTTCAATGTATCTTTTTAAACTACCACCTAGTGTGCTGCGTACTCAGAACTTACTCTTTAAAAAAAGAATAGGCACTTGATATCTCCTGATGTAAAAATGGCTTTATAAATACATTTGATTGATTGAATAATCTGTCCTTTCTCTCCCCTCTAGCATACAATGTGACTTTCCATGAATATGGCGGATGCCACTCTAGGCAATCTCTCTCTACTCTGTACTCTGGGAGAGGTGGAAACTGACCACAAAATACTAATGAGGAACTTGTGACAGGTCTAATACAGGTTTAATACTAAGTAATTTACTGCCTTAAAAGACTGACAGGCTACAATTATCGGTTAAGTGCGTTGAATGGTGGGGCCATGTAAATCATAACAGCTTTATCACCTTTACTTGAAGGTGATTCATTCAATACCAATACGTCTTATGAAAAACAAGATTCATCCCACTAAATCACAATTATCAGGGTGGGGGCAAATCTGATGGACATGAATCAACACAGTCCGTTAAGCACATGAATCAACATTCTGTGAAATTGAAAGCGGGAGTCACGGTCGGACATATCCCGGAACACCAACGTAGAATGCAGCAGTATGAAAACACTTGATGTTACACAATGTCATCTGAAATCTGAGAGAAAATTAAGCTCAATTTTAAATAGGTCAAATTAAAACGAGGTCACCGTGTACGTGAATATTTTGATACAAGGACCTACCTTTTGAACAGTACTGCCTAAACATAGCCTGTGATGCATTGATGCACCGAGCCCTTTCCCTTCCGCCACCACCAGGAGGCATCACTACCACCACCACTACTACCACTACCACCACCACTACCACCACCACCACAACTACCACCACCACTACCACCACTACCACCACCACTACCACCACCACCACCACTACCACCACCACCACTATCACCACCACCACTACCACCACCACTACCACCACTACCACCACCACTACCACCACTACCACCAGCAGGGGTACCACCACCACTACTACCACCACCACTACCACCACCACTACCACCAGCAGGGGTACCACCACCACCACCACCACCACTACCACCAGCAGGGGTACCACCACCACTACTACCACCACCACTACCACCACCACTACCACCAGCAGGGGTACCACCACCACCACTACCACTACCACCACCACTACCACCAGCAGGGGTATCACCACCACTACTACCACCACTCAGTCAGTGACTCACCCTGCTGAGGGCCAGTAGGAAGTCCATGCCCCCGGAGCGGCCCAGGCAGTGCCTGATCTTCCAGTACACAAGGTGCTCCCAGGCGAACACCAGCAGACTGAGCCCCATGGCCACCAGCAGCATGTAGAAGACGCCCGCCATGTTGTCGATGTCCAGCTTGGAGCTCATCACCTCTATCTTGTCGTTGTGACAGATCCCCGAAAGCCACAGGCGCTCGAGCATGTCGATCTCGTCTGGCGGTGGGAGAAGAGGGGACGGGAGGGAAATAAAAAACAATGAGAAGGGATTATCTGCCTTTGTTATGAGACAGGAAGTGTTTTATACCTGAAAGGGGGAAGCTGGGAAGGTAATAGTTTGAGCGGTAAGAAAGAGGAAGAGGGAAGAAAGTGTGTCTGGCTCAGAGCTGTTGTATGATGGCAAAGAAAAACTGCAAATGGCGAACATAGTGTGGGCGGGGGTCAAAGCGAGAATGAGAGAGAGTGAGCCTGTGTGTGTGAGAGAGAGAGAGAGAGAGAGAGAGAGAGAGAGAGGGAGGGAGAGTGAAAGAGAGACAGAGAGCGAGAGAGAGAGAGAGAGAGAGAGAGGAGAGACAGAGAGAGAGAGAGAGAGAGAGAGAGAAGAGAGAGAGGGAGGGAGAGTGAGAGAGAGAGAGAGAGAGAGAGAGCAAGAGAGAGAGAGAGACAGAGATCGAGAGAGCAAGAGAGAGGGGGAGAGAGAGTAAGAGAGAGCAAGAGAGGGGGAGAGAGAGAAATAGTACATCTTTGATGGAGGTCTGAAATGGCCTGGATACAGAGTCTCCGGTGCTAAGAGTGACCCCAACAATGCTTCAAGATGAAAGGTAGTGGACACTGATAGGACTCCCGACACTAACCATTAGTACCTTATCAAAAACAACTGTAACACTGTGAAGGAAAAATTGAGGAAAACCCAGAGCTTGTGCTCAGCGGAGAGCACATATTGAAATGGCAGCCACCTCTGTCGGCTAAAGCCCTCTGCATTGCAAGAGTAGCTACTTAAAGGACGTTTTAAAATCCTAGTTCATCAGAGTTATAACACTGAAACATTAAACTATATTAACCTTAGGTTAATTGCCCCTTGTGGGAAATCCCATTGTAAAGCCCAAGCTACATGGATTAGAAAAACAGGAATTAACCATGTTGACTGGAATGTCATAATCCACTCCAATAAAACTCAATAAAAAGGAATCTACCTAACAAAAATATTCTTCCAAGAATGTGTAGCTAAGAATTCACAGTCAGAGAGTTAAAGTGATCTCTCTGATTACATTTTTTACATTTACATTTGAGTCATTTAGCAGATGCTCTTATCCAGAGCGATTTACAGTTAGAGCAAATCGTCTTAAAATAGCTAGGTGGGACAACCACATATCTCCGTCATAGTAAGTACATTTCTCCTCAATAAACAAGTGCAAGTGTTGGTTCACGAAAATCACTATACTTAACTGACAATTGTGTTTTCAACAATGGATCCTAATTTGCATGATCATAAACTGTGGCAGACTCCTAATCTCATTCATCATATTTCAATAAGCACCTCCGTCCCCGCTCTCACATTCAATCCTAAATCATGACAGCAGCTGAACCCAGGGCTTCATAAAGCTGCTTTAAGATCTTTACAAAGACCGCTCAACTGAGACAGAGCTGCAACATCCTCAGCACTAGCGAAGGAATAACCCCACCTTTTAATCACAGAACCAGAGCAAATGAGTGACAGAAAAAAAAGTATTAGAAAGAAAAAGTCCCATAATAGGAATACCAATTGTAACATTAACAATACAAAGTAAGTATGATACAGTACTGGATAATACATTTATGGAATCTTTAAGACCTCTTATGATGTAAGGATTAGTGAAACATTCTGGGGTGGTTGCACAGACCCAGATTAAGCCTACAGTACTCAAGGACTAAAGGTTAACTAGAGAATCACCATTGCAGTCCATGTTAAGGTTTAATCTGGGTCACAACCACCCCTAATAAATCCAACATTCAACATTAATTTACTGTTTTACAGTATGATAAGCCTTCTGTAAAACAGAGCATGTAGGCCTACTGTAAGACATACAGGTAACTGCCAAAATAATGGACACTTGAGTATATGAGGGATACAAAGTATTTTGAAAGCAGGTGCTTCCACACAGGTATGGTTCTTGAGTTAATTAAGGAATAAACATCCCATCATGCTTAGGGTCAGGCATAAAAATGCTGGACAGGCCATTATTTTGGCTACCATGGCTATGCCCCCATCCACAGGGCACGAGTGGTCACTGAATGGTTTGTTGAGCATGAAAACGATGTAAACCATATGCCATGGCCGTCTCAGTCACCAGATCTCAACCCATTTGAACACTTATGGGAGATTCTGGAGTGGCGCCTGAGACAGAGTTTTCCACCACCATCAACAAAACACCAAATGATGGAATTTGTCATGGAAGAATGGTGTCGCATCCCTCCAATAGAGTTCCAGACTTTTGTAGAATCTATGCCAAGGTGCATTGAAGATGTTCTGGCTCGTGGTGGCCCAACGCCCTATTAAGACACTTTATGTTGGTGTTTCCTTTATTTTGGCAGTTACCTGTGGTATGTAGGTCTACTGTAAAATGTACAGTATGTAGGACAAACTGTAAAACCGTGAATACGTACAGCATTCAACTGAAATAAGCAGTAGGTACTGCAGGAAAGTGTATTTTTTCTCTCACTTCAATCCACCACCAAAAGCAGAGACATAGATTGATGCTGCCAGCCTGCCACTAACAAGCCAGCACATTTATCAACTTCTCCTGCCTGTCCCCAATCCCTCTCTCCCTCGTCCATCTCTCCCCCACTCTCTCTCTCCTCACCGTCTCCCACCAGCTGCAGTAGGGCCAAGTCCACGGGCCGTTTCCAGCGGGTGTTCTTATGCAGGGCGATGCCGTAACCCGTGGTGGCGAACACCTTGCCCGAGCCAATAGTCATCACCTTACAGCCCTCGTCCTTCCTCGCCATGTAGTTTAGCACAGCTGCATCATAGATGAAGGCATCTAGTTTGCTGAAGGGGAGGGAGGGAGGGGAGAGACATGGGGATGAGAGGGAGATGATAAGTGAGAATGCATCATGTGAGGTTTAATAACACGGTACGTCAAGTCTGGGTGAGGAATAGGCTGCTGGTGGTCAAGTCGTCTTGGGGAAGTGATTAAGTGTCTCTCCTCTGCATGAGGCGCACAATTTGTTATAACTACCCTCATGCTTCCAACATGATAAGTGTACGTTTTATCGAATGTAAGCAGAAATCATATGTTGCACTATAGACACCAGCAGAGAGACAAACAAACATACAATATAACAGGACCTCCTGGGGAGATAATTGTTGCTAAGAGGTTGCTATGCTGGGTCGTGTACATTACGGCACATAACGGAAAAATAAATGCAACGGAAAGTGAAAATGTGCGTTTCTTATTGGACAAGTCTAGGTAGTCCCTCCCTGTTTCAGTCTGTTTTCTTCCGTTTGGTGCCTAATGAACATGGCCCTGGTTGGATGCAATGAAATGAAAGGGATGTCATCTTCACAAACACACAAACTGACCCAGTCTTGAGGTTGTCGATGGCCTCCTCCACGCCCTTCTGGTTGTTGCGGATCATGAAGTTGTGCATGTTGGCGTAGTTGCTGCGGATGTTCTCCTCCGTGCTCCCATTGGGGACGGTGCCAAATCGGAGCGGGGGGTACTGCTCAGTGGGTTGCTGGAACTGGGGGGATAGAGGAGGAACTAGCGGTTGATGAGGGGATTCAGGGTAAGAGGTGAGTGACGAGTACATTACATCGTAAATAATGCATGCATAGAGATCTACGGAAGTTAGACAGGTGGACAATACCTCAAGCAACGTGTCAAAAATCAAAGAGCTGCCAAAACGCAAGAACATTTGAAAAGATTGCGGCTCAAATCTCCAACACCAACTCAGCAAGTTGAGTGTCTATCTTTTGAGATGTTGTGATTTTTGGCTGTGCTGTCCAGTGCCCACCCAATGTCCTTAGATCTCATGTAAAAAGGCTTCTTCTATTTCCCCCCAAATATAATTTTTATTACAGAGATCTTCAGAAAGGGAGAGAATTGAGACGGACCAATGCATAAGTTGTCCGAAGGTGGCAGCAGCATTACCACTAGACCAACCTCCAGCACAACAAAAAACTTCTACTTTTATTGACTTCCAGGCGAACTCTGATTCTCCACCCTTCTCCTGAAGCGTGCACTTGCACATTCCCGTCATGGATTAACAATAATGGAGACTCCCTCCAGACAATGCCTTCACCAATCCATAAACAGGTCATGTGCAAGTGGGAATAATGAAGATGCCGATGTGGTATGAAAACAGACATCATGGCCACCTTGGCCTTGGATCAGAACGCCCTCCTCACTCAACACACCTTCTTGTCGCTGAGGCCAGACACAGTGTCGATGTACTCCTCTTGGATCATGAAGGCTGCCAGGTTGGCCGTGTAGGAGGCCAGGAAGATGACAGCGAAGAAGGCCCACACCAGCACCATGATCTTACTGGTGGTTCCTCTGGGGTTCTCCACAGGCACTGAGTTATTGAAGACCAGAGCCCACAGCAGCCAGATAGACTTCCCTATGGTGAATTTAGAGCCCCCTGTCTCTGGATAGAGAGAGATAAGGGGGACAGACAGAGGGGGGGAGTGTGAGAGACAGTGAGTGAGAAAGAGAGAGAAAAAGAAAGAGAGAGAGAGAGAGAGAGAGAGAAAAAAGAAAGAAAGAGAGAGAGAGAGAGAAGAAGAGAGAAAAAGCCAAAGAGAGAGAGATCTATAGATAGCGACCGCGATAGAGAGTACGAGGCACAGTACGATATCTATCTCTCTCTCGCTCCTCTCCCTCTCCTTCTCCCCTCTCCTCTCTCTCTCGCTCTCTCTTCTCTCTCGATAGATGAGAGGAAGAATATGGAACATAAATATCCCCAGGGTACTCACACTGGCATGTAACTCATCACGCCTACTTAAATTGCTTCAATGGGGATAACCTAAAATAATAATGACCATACTGTAATAAATGACTTACTCTTTGCACTTTGCAGGCTGCGGTTGTAGCCAACGGGGCTGAAGAACTCGAAAATAAAGACTGTGACGGCGACCACGGACAGGCACATGACGAACATCATCACCCACACAGCTGGGCTGTACGGCTCTGAAACATCACAACACAAAGACAAGGGTTCTGTTCCAAGGTTCTCACTAGCTTACTAATTAGAAGGAAGCTATGGATGCATCCCAAATGGCACTCTACGGGCCCTTGTCAAAAGTAGTACCCTACAATTCCCTATATACAGTGTGGTCCGAAATTATTGACACCCTGGAAAAGATCAGCAATAGTGACTGTATAAAATAAATAATTCAAATACTGAGCTATATTGTACACTCCAAAGAATTGGGAAATTGTATTATTTTATACTAATAAAATTGCTCAGAGAAAGAGATTTTGTTTAATATGTAATACAAAAAAATCTCCAAAAGATAGGGGTCAAAATTATTGACACCCCTAAAGATTCTTATTAATAAAGTAGTCAAAGGTTTAGTATTTGGTCCCATATTCCTAGCACGCAATGACTACATCAAGCTTGTGACTCTGCAAACTTGTTGGATGCATTTGCAGTTCATTTTGGTTTTGTTTCAGATTATTTTGTGCCCAATAGAAATGAATGGTAAAAATGTATTGTGTTTTTTTGGAGTCACTTTTATTGTAAATAAGAATAGAATATGTTTCTAAACACTTCTACATTAATGTGGGTACTACCATGATTACGGATAATCCTGAATGAATCGTGAATAATGATGAGTCAGAAAGTTACAGAGGGTCAAAGATCATACCCCCAAGACATGCTAACCTCCCCTGTTACTGGTAATGGTGAGAGGTTAGCATGACTTGTGGGTATGATCTTTGACCCTCTGTAATTTACATTAGTCACGATTCATTCAGGATTATCCGTAATCATTGCAGTGTCCACATTAATGTAGAAGTGTTTAGAAACATATTATATTCTTATTTACAATAAAAGTGACTCCAAAATGACACAATACATTATTTACCATTCATTTCTATTGGGCACAAAATTATCTGAAACACAACCAAAACGAACTGCAAATGCATCCAACATTGGAAAATAGCCAAGGAGGGAATTGTACAAAAAAGCCATTCTCAAACAACTACACTTGTGTCATAGGTAGGGATAGGAGGAATCTAAAGGGGTTGTTTTGTGGTAACATGATGTTGATTTGATACCTGTGAAGTAACGTTGTAATTACATGTATTAATGTGTTTCATGAAATTAAGAGGTTTTGTTATTACACAAGTGGAATACGGAATTTTCTTTAAATAATTTTTGGAGGCTCAGATTCTGTCTGACTCTAGTCATATAGGAGTAACTTACAAGCTCAAAACAATTAAGGTCAAACCAAGACGGTTGACAAAATGGTTGATGGTCTCAAGAAAACAACCTTACAGAAAGGGTCAGTCTTGAAGATCCAAGATTTTCTTGGCAAGAGATTACTCTGTGCTCTGGCCAACTAAGACATACTAAGACCAAGCCAAGGACCCTTATGTTACCATCAAATCAGTGACCCTTGATTCAGGTGAAATGGCCTTGGGATAAGAAAACTCCAGGTTGGATACAGTACATGTCCAGATTGTCTACTAAATCTTACTTGACAGATAGATAAACATCCATGTTTGAAATGGATCATTCAGTGGGGAAAAATGACATACAGTATGTGCTGTTTGAGTGTCTGAAACTACGACCACATCCAGTCTGTGCTACTTGAGTTTATGTCTGAACTAGCTTGTTTTACATACAGCACAGCCGCCTCCTATGGCCAGATTACTGTGTAATACTGAGTCATATCTGATGAGCTGCCATTATCTTGGTGTATTTCACACTGGATTATCTAAGATCTGGCTGCAGATATAGACGCACCATCACGTCTTAATCGATGGCTGTAGCTTTAAGATGTCAGTCTTGTCTGCAGACTGAGTCTCTGTCTCTACATGGTTGGGCAAAGTCTGGAATTATGCTAAGGAAATTTGAAATGTAGAGGTGTTATCTTAGAGACATATTTTACTCTGAAATATCTTCACCCTTCATTACTGAGGGGGGGGGGGGGGGCATAGCCTATTGGAATACTGCATTTCACCAAATGCTACAGTGAAAAATACAAGACAAAATGAAAATATCAACGGGTTTATGGATTTTGTTTGAGAAGCCTGTGAAACCGGGCTTGACAACTTTGATACTAAACCAAGAGCGAGAAATCAAGGTTTTCCTTGTTAATGGGGGGTAACGTTGGTTGGGGTATGTCAGGTATTGTGTGTTACCATAGACCCTTCATAGCCCATCATAGGCCCTTCATAGCCCATTATAGGCCCTTCATAGCCCATCATATGCCCTTCATAGACCTTCATAAGCGCTTAGTCAGCCCTGCTCACCAAGGAAGGCCGACGGCGAGACGGTGCCATTGCTACGGGAGACCATGACGCTGATGCCCGTCTCCACGAAGGGCACGGAGAACTCCACAGCCTCTGACCTCTCCTTGTTGACGGTCAGGGAGCCAATGGCCATGTCGGCCCGTTTATAAACCACCTGGTGGGCGGGAGGGGAACTGCAGTTAGGAACAGAAAGAAACGGGCCCATTCACGTTCACAGGCATTCACTTCCAGCTGTCTCAGTTGTAAAATGGTTACGTTAATGAGATCCGAGAGTGAGTTGAGCGACTGAGGAGCCTCGCGGTGGGGGAAAAGGGACACCTGCACCTGGTAGCAGGAGCCTAGCCCCCGGTGGTTGTGTAAACACAACAACACACCCTTAGCTGTGCTGTCACTGTGCATGTGGGCTGACACAGCCCCATCTCTTCTCTGTTAACCACCCGTATTAATCCCGGCACCCAGAGGGGGATTGTCTTCCCTGGAAATAACGAGGCATTTGCCCAAGACTCCACGCCAAACACTCCCTAGTTCCTTCTCCATGGGAATACTAATCTATTTGACAGTTCTTGGTCTCATTCTGTCTCCCGTTTACTTTTAGGGGATTTAAAGGAGGAATTGCATGGCACCCCTTGAATACGTTTTTTGAATACGAAAAGAAAGAGAGAAGAAGAAATACATGACCCCTGACCTCCCCGACCATGCCATTCCACTGCCCATCACTCCCCCTCTTCCCGTGTCTGCCATTGGTCACCAGGTAGAGGTCATAAGAGAAGCCCACTATTTTGGCCAATCGCTTGAGGACGTCAATGCAGAAGCCTTTGCAGCAGTGCTTCGACGATTTCTCATCCACCGGCACACTGTGGTTACAGAGAGAGCGGGGGAGGGAAGGAGAAAAAGACAGGGAGGGAGAGGGGAGAGACAGGAGGCAGAGGAGAGAGAGAAACAGAAGGGAGACACAGAAGGACAAGTGGAATGTATGAATTATTAGCGAGAGCTGTATTAGCTGGATCAATACTGCCTGAGCTGCTCAGTTTTAGAGAAGGGAGGCATATCAGAACAGACAGGAGAGGAGAAGGAGGACTGCTTTAAAACTGGATGAATTGCAATTTTTCTGGGTGGGTTATCCTCAGCAGGGGACGAGGAATTTTAACAGGACATACGTGGACTCTTTCCAAGCATGTAGCTTTACAACAGGAATGTCTACAGAAAAAGCCTGATGACAGATCAAAAGCTAAATTTAACTGGCCAAATATCAATGTGTGGTCCCTCCCTGTATGCCCACTATGATAACCAACCAGTCACTGCAGGTGTTAAGATTCCAATGGAATGTACAAACCAGGCTGATTAACTGGGGCAATCTCCCTGAGCCAATACAATTTATGGAACTTTCAGCAGGCCTTGTTACCAGACATCTTATCAGAGACAGACTGGGAACACACAACACACTCAGCAGACCTCCAGAGACCAGGACAGACTGTGCAACACTGAGTGAGAGTTTATAAAAGAGGACAAGAGAGAATATACAACAGCATGTCAATGAGAAAACGGGCAAAGCATGTGGTTACTGGTTAGACTATGCTGCGTCCCAAAAAGTTACTTTAAAGGGGAACTTCAATCAAAAGTTCAAATGTAAGGTTTTGTTTGGAACCGTTTACATTTACATTTTACATTTTAGTCATTTAGCAGACGCTCTTATCCAGAGCAATTAGGGTTAAAGGCCTTGCTCAAGGGCACATCGACAGATTTTTCACCTAGTCGGCTCGGGGATTAGAACCAGCGACCTTTCGGTTACTGGCACTACGCTCTTAACCACTAAGCTACCTGCCGCCCCGTTTAATATTTCAAATGATATTTCCACCGTGTGTGTAACCCAGAGCTGTTTGTCAAAATCTATAGTAGAGCACTGAAGCTGATGATGTCATAGGGTCACTGTGCACCATTGTGGCTCATTGCATAGATTTACTTTGACAATTATAAAGACATTTTAAAAGTTTAAAGGCTTTATTACTTATTTACAGCAATTCAGTTGCTAAATCTTTGCACATTTTCTGCAATTATTTTCCCTGAATGGCTTGAGGGGAGGGAACGTAACCATGCGACATCATACTTTTAGAAGGTATTATGGTCTTTTTAGGGAGGGTGGAATAAAGCATTGTATTTGAAACACACTCTCAATAAACTATATCAATAATGAGGAGCAACATGGACAACCACAATTACATTTTTTGTATTACCCTTTACACTTATGATAGCTACAACATTTAAACTATGTTGGTTACATGTTGGTCATGGTTAAAACATCTGAATGGTTAAACCATGGTCAGTTATAGTTAAATATCTGCATGGTTAGACCAGAGTAGTTCATGGTAAAACATCTACCACAGTAGCATGCCTTACTTGGTGGTGTTGAGTGGTAGTCTGCAGGGCACCGAGTCCCGGATGCAGGAGTTGGTGCCTGGGTCGGCGGGCTCCACAATGACAAAGGGCCTCTCCTCCAGGGTGACCACCCTGAGGTGCTGGGTGTCATCCAGCGGCTTGAGGAAGGAGCCGTAGCGTGAAAAGGGCTGGATAATGAGATCCAGAACACCGTTCTGCCACGTGCCAACCTGCAGGAGATCATTTAGAGCCAATTAGAAAGTATATGGAGCGTGAGGAGGAAAAAAGGAAGCCTTTGTGCGACGCAGTGTCTCTTTTGTTCACCGCGGCGGTTTGTGGTAAGTGTGGCATGTACTAAACACTTGAGAGTGTTTCGGTGTCTCGGTGGTCAAGCCGAGACCAGAAGCGAACGCGACCTGTGTTGAAGTGATTCACTAATTAATTCAAGTGAGTACTTTGAGAGAACCATTTCCTCAGTTCTTCTTCAGGGTCACTTGAAGTTGATAGGTTCTAATATCACTGCAATGTATTAGACGTATACATATGTCGACCATGGAATGGCCTACACGTATATTATTATCCTAATATTTGAAATGGTGGTTATTTTATACTATAGGGAACAGTAAGTCACAGTATTTATGGATCTATGGAGACTATAGACGCACGGTATATCATAAGCGGTCATGTGTAAACGTGTCTCCGACCAATACAATTTGATTTGATTTGATTTGAAGTGGTCTGACCTTTTCCATCATGTAATGTAGTCTGGGGTCAAAAACTGGTCCCAGAGCTCAATCGTCCACTGCTTGTTCACTCAAACCCAACTGATCAGAGCACTCAGAGGAGATGGGAAATGAACATAAGGAGCGCTACTACAGGGACCATGTTATCATACAGCTGCAACTGGGTGAGATTAACCCACCTTGACAGTATGGAGGCATATCACGATTCATGCTGAACAAATTACTCCTGTCGTGAATGGATATCATGGAATCACTACGCCTTGAGGCAACAATGTGGGAAAACATCCAGAGTGATGAAAGGTTAGTTGAAAACAGCAGGAATGGAGTGAACGGAGAGCTGAGGCAAGCACATGGGCTTTCTCTCTCTCGGGGGAAAAAACATTAGACGTCGAGTTAGCCTGTTAACGAAAGCTAACAAGGTTGACAAAACGTTAAGGAGGAGTAAGTAGGCACATCCGATGAACTGTGATAGTGCGGTTAGCGTGGTTAGCAAGGTGAGGGGAGAGAGTGTGTGTATGTGTGTGTGAGGATGAGTTAGCCAGACTTGATGGGTGTAAAAGTACAGCTGCACCATTGAGAGCATCCTGACTGGTTGCATCACTGCCTGGTATGGCAACTGCTCGGCCTCCGACTGCAAGGCACTACAGAGGGTAGTGTGTACGGCCCAGTACATCACTGGGGCCAAGCTTCCTGCCATCCAGGACCTGGCGGTGTCAGAGGAAGGCCCTAAGAATTGTCAAAGACTCCAGCCACCTTAGTCATAGACTGTTCTCTTTGCTACCGCACGGCAAGCGGCACCGGAGCACCAAGTCTAGGTCCAAGAGGCTTCTAAACAGCTTCTACCCCCAAGCCATAAGACTCCTGAACATCTAATCAAATGGCTACCCAGACTATTTGCATTGCCCCCCCCCCCCCCCCCCACCCCCTATTTTACGCTGCTGCTACTCTCTGTTTATTATCTATGCATTGTCCCTTTAATAACTCTACCTACATGTACATATTACCTCAATTACCTCGACTAACCGGTGCCCCCGCACATTGACTCTGTACCGGTACCCCCTGTATATATCCTCGCTATTGTTATTTTTACTGCTGCTCTTTAATTATTTGTTACTTTTATTTCGTATTATTTTATTTTGTATTTTTTTGTGTGATTCTTTTTGGTATTCTTTCTTAAAACTGCATTGTTGGTTAAGGGCTTGTAAGTAAGCATTTCACTGAAAGCACTACACCTGTTGTATTCGGTGCATGTGACAAATACAATTTGATTTGATTTTAAATGGTGGTTAGCCAGGATAGCGAGCGTGTCAACTAATTAGCGGTTAGCACACTAACTCACTGACCTCCTCCCAGCCTTTCCCCTCGGAGTAGGAAATCACGTCCAGCACCGGATTGGACAGGTAGCCGTCGCTGTTGAACGAGTAGTCCCGGCCACTCAGCGTAATGTTATTGAAGAACCTGGAAGACAGGGAATGGAGTGAGAGAATGGCAGACAGAAAGAGAAAGAGAGAGAGAAATAGAAACAGGGAAACAGAGAGAAATAGAGGGGCACAGAGAAACTGAGAAATGGGAGATGGAAAAACAGAGAAATGGAGAGGCATGCTAGACTTTCAGCAAGCTTCAAGTTTTAGCAGGAAGTGACAGGGAAGGCAATGAGAGAGTGGCAGAGAGAGAGAGAGAGAGAGAGAGAGAGAGAGAGAGAGAGAGAGAGAGAGAGAGAGAGAGAGAGAGAGAGAGAGAGAGAGAGAGAGAGAGAGAGAGAGAGAGAGAGAGAGAGAGAGAGAGAGAGAGAGAGAGAAGCAGGGGACACTTAATCCTAGATATCTTTCATGTGTCTTCAGTTGCAAGCTTTGTAGTTCAAAGATCCAAAAACGGAAGAGGGAGAGTGGCAGGGTGAGAGACAGCAGGATGCAGGTGGGCAGTTAGGCAATACACTAGAGATCTCTCTATGTCCCAAGCTGCTTGTTATTATGTTCCAGCCATGTACAGTTACAGGTAGCTACGTCACATAAAATAAAAATAAATGACTTCATTAATAAAACGTGAACTTGGCTTTGAAGTAACCAAAGTTCTGCAAACGGCAGGTCGTTTCTGCTTATCACATGAATAATGTGCAGCGCCTGTAAGTATTTGAGACTTGCAAAGACTGCAGTATGCAGAGAGGTAGGGTAGGCAGGCTATTTTCCATAATCTTCAACGCATCTGTACCTCGTTGATATTGAGAGTGCTAATGGTTTCCTAGCCCCTCTGATAATCAGGGGTAAAAGCTATAAAGCAAACCACACTAGCTGTTGGCTTTCATGTGGAATATTTTGCTGTTAGGGGCAGTGTGTCTGTTGCAGAGTCTGAGATGCTTCTATGTCCCCATGACAACACTGCACCTAAAAGCACCATTCACAGAGGACGCCAGTCAGATAGAATGTTAAAAACTCCCTTCCTTCGAATGGCATTTGGAATTAGTCGTCAGAGCGTTCTTGTTTTCATGATGCAGCAATCTGATTGAAGATGCCCTCATTTCATTTTTTCCATTTTTGATTTCGGCCATTATTTATGTAACCAGTGTGAAATGGCTAGGGTCCCTGGTTCAAGCCCAGGTATGGGTGAGGAGAGGGACGGAAGGAACACTGTTACATTTATACGAGGTTGTCACATAAAAAGCCTACCACACAATATGAGATTTTTATATACGTCTCACCCAATGCCCTCTCTCTGACTTCACAAGAGTATTGAGCTGAATTATGACTTATCATTTCTGGGGTTTTCTATATCATATCATATAGCAGGAGGAATTGTTCACATTCTGGCACATGGTAAGACAGGCTGAAGCCCTACTGCTAGGGGCTATGTTGGTCTTCAAATCCATCCTGTTGCTACTGTATACAGTATATAAGGGGCAATAATGGAATGCAAACTAATGTAATGCAATGCAAATGAGCTAGAGGGCCTTATTTGTACAGTACCAGCCAAAGGTTTGGACACACCTACTCATTCAAGGGTTTTTCGTGGCCTAGTGATTCTATGATATCTATTCACAACAGGAGGAATTTGTTCAGCATGAATTGTGCAATTATTTTTACTATTTTCTACATTATAGAATAATAGTGCAGACATCAAAACTATGAAATAACACATATGGAATTACAAAGTAACCCAAAATGTTTTAAACAAATCAAAATATATTTTATATTTTAGTAGCCACCCTTTGCCTTGATGACAGCTTTGCAAACTCTTGGCATTCTCTCAACCAGCTTCACCTGGAATGCTTTTCCAATAGTCTTGAAGGAGTTCCCACATATGCTGAGCACTTGTTGGCTGCTTTTCCTTCACTCTGCGGTCCAACTCATCCCAAACCATCTCAATTGGGTTGAGGTCGGGTGATTGTGGAGGCCAGGTCATCTGATGCAGCACTCCATCACTCTCCTTCTTGGTCAAATAGCCCTTACACAGCTGGAGGTGTGTTGGGTCATTGTCCTGGTAAACAAATGATAGTCCCACTAAGCGCAAACCAGATGGGACGGCGTATCGCTGCAGAATGCTTTGGTAGCCATGCTGGTTAAGTGTGCCTTGAATTCTAAATAAATCACTAACAGTGTCACCAGCAAAGCACCCCCACACCAAACACTTCAAACCTCCTCCTCCATGCTTCATGGTGGGAACCACACATGCGGAGATCATCCGTTCACCTACACTGCTTCTCACAAAGACACAACGGTTGGAAACAAAAATCTACAATTTGGACTCATCAGACCAAAGGACAGATTTCCACCGGTCTAATATCCATTGCTCGTGTTTCTTTGCCCAAGCAAGTCTCTTCTTATTATTGGTGTCCTTTAGTAGTGGTTTCTTTGCAGCAATTCCCATGGGGCGGCGCACAATTGGCCCAGCGTCGTCCAGGGTAGGGGAGGGAATGGCCGGCAGGGATGTAGCTCAGTTGGTAGAGCATGGCGTTTGCAATGCCCGGGTTGTGGGTTTGATTCCCACGGGGGGCCAGTATGAAAAAAAAAAAAAATTATGTATGCACTCACTAACTGTAAGTCGCTCTGGATAAGAGCGTCTGCTAAATGACTAAAATGTCAATGTAATTCGACCATGAAGGCCTGATTCACGTAGTCTCCTCTGAACAGTTGATGTTGAGATGTGTCTGTTACTTGAACTCTATGAAGCATTTATTTGGGCTGCAATTTCTGAGGCTGGTAACTCTAATGAACTTATCCTCTGCAGCAGAGGTAACTCTGGGTCTTCCTTTCCTGTGGCGGTCCTCATGAGATCCAGTTTCATCATAGCGCTTGATGGTTTTTGCGACTGCACTTGAAGAAACTTTCAAAGTGCTTGAAATGTTCTGTATTGACTGACCTTCATGTCTTATAGTAATGATGGACTGTCGTTTCTCTTTGCTTACTTGAGCTGTTCTTGCCATAATATGGACTTGGTCTTTTACCAAATAGGGCTATCTTATGTATACCACTCCTACCTTGTCACAACACAACTGATTGGCTCAAATGCATTAAGAAGGAAATAAATTCCACAAATTAACTTTTAATAAGGCACACCTGTTAATTGAAATGCATTCCAGGTGACTGCCTCATGAAGCTGGTTGAGAGAATGCCAAGAGTGTGGAAAACAGTCATCAAGGCAAAGGGTGGCTACTTTGAAGAATCTCAAATATAAAATATATGTTGATTTATTTAACACATTTTTGGTTACAACATGAGTGTAGAAAATAGTAAAAATAAAGAAAAACCCTGGAATGAGTAGGTGTGTTCAAACATTTGACTGGTACTGTATGTAAGGACTGAATGAAGGAGTCATAAAGGGCATTATTACTTTTCACATATGATTTGTTAAACAAAGCCCATAAAGAGAATACTGACGGCGAATAGAAATCCAAACCCAAGCGTAAAGAAATGAAAGCAGAAAACACCCTTGGTCTCTATTCTACATTCAAATTATTATTTCATGGTTTGGAAAAAGAGAGAAAAAATCCTGCTGACAAATACCAAACTATTCAGTAGTTGCTTTCCTTATAAGATGAAAAAAGATCATGTGTTAATGTTAGCATTCACTTAAACTCTGCAATCTCACTGATCTCTCTTGGTGAGTGCCATGTTGTCATGGCAACACACAGTCATTGACATTACATGTGTTTCCACTGATGCCGAACAATGTGAGGTGAACAAGCTACGGAATATTTGAATATAGATTTGTCTCTCATGCCGTAACAAAGACAACTCATAATGGCTAATGCATTCAGACAGAGAAGGATGGAGGAATAGAGAGAGCGAGAGAGAGAGAGAGAGAGAGAGAGAGAGAGAGAGAGAGAGAGAGAGAGAGAGAGAGAGAGAGAGAGAGAAGACAGGAAAGAGAGAGAGGGATAGGCAGAGAGGGAAAGAGAGTGAGAGAGCGAGAGAGAGAGAGAGAGAGAGTGATATGGGGCGTAGGGGTGGAGGGTTGGGGGGGCAGGGGGGGGGGGGTGACTAGCTATTTAAACATCAGACAACATTCGCATTAATGTACTCGCTTTAGAGCTGCATGCCTCACTGGTGCCAGCGCCTTCATTCGGAAACGGGACGGGCCATGTGGTGGGAGGGGGGGAGGGTGTCCCTATTCTGTTGACAGTGCCCCTGCCATGATAGCGATGGCTCGGGAGATACAGAGAGAGGCCAGAGGAGCTCTGGTGGCTAGTTGGGTTCATGGCTGTGTGTGACTGCCTCCGATATTTCTACCCTGCATTTGTATTTGTATTTGTATTTATTAAGGATCAACATTAGCTGCTGCCAAGGTCCATTAACATTAAGGCAGTAATATACAATTTAAAATATTACATTACATTTCATAACCCTTTTCACAACACATTAAGTGTGTGCCCTCAGGCCACTACTCTACTACCACATATCTAAGCCACCATTATCAATTATCCTATTTACATGTAAAACGATGCCGCATCAGATCCCTTTTAGAGTCGGACCAAGGGAGGAGAGAGATGGGGAAAAGGAAGAGAAAGAGGGAAGAGATGGAGTGATGAGAAAAAGAGTGAAGCAGGGAGAAAGAGAGGAGAGAGAGGGTTGTGAAATGGCAATAGATGGGAGAGCGTGGGAGGGAAGGAGGGAGGGAGGGGAGAGAGAAGGAAATTAGATTGAGGATGAGATTGAATGGTGTAATAAAAACAATGCATAAAGAGCATAGCTGTGGGAGAGATAGAGGGAGGAGAGAGGGGTGCAGGGCTGACAGAGGTGCAGAGAGGTACGGAAGGGGATGCTGGTGAAAGATAGAAAGGGTTGTGAGAGAAAGAAGGGAGAGTGGTGAGATGTAGATAATTGTAGTTTTATCTTGACTGGTCAAATAAATGTATTAAAGAGACCCATTATAGCTGACACATTAACAATGAATGAACAGTAAGTGGTAATTAATTAATTAATTGGTACCATTTAGGCCTTTGGTAAAACTTTATTTGCCTTCAGAAAGTATTCACACCCCTTGACTTTTTCCACATTTTGTTGTGTTACAGCCTGAATATAAAATTGATTAAATTGAGATTTCTTGTAATAATGTCAAAGTGGAATTATGTTTTTAGAAATGTGTACAAATTAATACAAAATGAAAAGCTGAAATGTCGTGTCAATAAGTATTGTTATGGTATGTCTAAATACGTTCAGGAGTAAAAATGTGCTTAACAAGTCACATAATAAGTTGCATGGACTCACTCTGTGTGCAATAATAGTGTTTAACATGATTTTTGAATGACTAACTCATTTCTGTACCACACACATACAATTATATGTAAGGTCCCTCAGTCGAGCAGTGAATTTCAAAGACAGGTTCAACATCAAAGACCAGGGAGGTTTTCCAATGCCTCGCAAAGAAGGGCACCTATTTGTAGGGTAAAAATAAAAAAGGTAGACTTTGAATATCCCTTTGAGCATGGTGAAGTTATTAATTACACTTTGGATGGTGTATCAATACACCCAGTCACTACAAAGATACAGGTGTCCTTCTTAACTCAGTTACCAGAGAGGAAGGAAACTGCTCAGGGATTTCACCATGAGGCCAATGGTGACTTTAAAACAGTTACATAGTTTAGTTACAGAGTTTAATGGCTGTTATAGGAGAAAACTGAGGATGGATCAACAACATTGTAGTTCCTCAACAATACTAAACTAATTGACTGAGTGAAAAGACGTAAGCCTGTACAGATTTTTTTTTCTCCAAAACATGCCTCCTGTTTCCAACAAGGCACTAAAATAATGCTGCAAACATTGTGGCAAAGCAATTCACTTTTTGTCCTGAATTCAAAGTGTTATGTTTGGGACAAATCCAATTCAACACATTACTGAGTACCACTCTCCATATTTTCAAGCATAGTGGTGGCTGCATCATGTTCTGGGTATGATTGTAATCGTTAAGGACTGGGGAGTTTTTCAGGATAAAAAAACTAACGGAATTGAGGCACAGGTAATATCCTAGAGGAAAACCTGGTTCCGCCTGCTTTCCACCAGACACTGGGAGATGAATTCACCTTTCTGCAGGACAATAACCTACAACACAAGGCCAAATCTACACTATAGTTTCTTACCAAGAAGACAGTGAACGTTCCTGAGTGGCTGAGTAACAGTTTTTACTTAAATCTGCTTGAAAATCTATGGCAAGACCTGAAAATGGTTGTCTAGCAATGATCAACACCCAATTTGCCAGAGCTTGAAGAATTTTGAAAAGAATAATAGGTAGCTAAATGTTGCACAATCCAGGTGTGCAAAGCTCTGTTAGACTTACCCAGAAAGACTTACAGATGTAATCGCTGCCAAAGGGGATTCTAACGTCTATTGACTCAGGGGTGTGAATACTTATGTAAATTAGATATTTCTGTATTTCATTTTCAATACATTTGTAAACATTTCTAAAAACACGCTTTCACTTTGTCATTATGGGTTATTGTGTATAGATTGTGAGAATAAAAAAAAAAAATCCATTTTGAATTCAGGCTGTAACACAACAAAATGTGGAATAAGTCAAGGGGTATGAATACTTTCTGAAGGCACTGTATCTACAGCCTATCAGTATCATTTCAACTAACGATCTACTAACCTTAGGCCTAACCCTAACCCTTATCCTAACCCTAAACTTAACCCTAGTCCTAACCCTTACTCTAAACCTAACCCTAACTGTAACCTTAGCAAGCAGTTGCTTATCAACAGATAGTTTGAAGATAGTATGACCATCTGTACAGCATCTACAGATCCAAATAACTATCCAAATAAAGTATGACCAGGCCTTTGTAGTTATTACGGATTACATCCTCATCAGTTCATTTAATCCCCCAATGCTAGTCAATAAACTAGCTTGATTCGCATAGACAAGTCATGTATCTTTAACATGATTTATATGGACTCAACATTTTACATTTACATTTCAGTCATTTAGCAGACGCTCTTATCCAGAGCGACTTACAGTTAGTGAGTGCATACATTTTTCATACATGTCATGTACAGTATCTTTAACTTGATTCACATTGACTTAACAAGTCATGTATCTGTAGCCCCTTTCCTGCAGTCAAATGACCAAATCATCCTCCAGTGACCTCATGGGTGGAATGTTATTAATATTTTTAATAATTTCATAATTAATACACTTTTTTTGCTGAAAATCCGGTGTTTCTATGTCAAACGGTCTTGTTATATTTCAGTCTTCTGTGATGTATATAAAGTGTAATATTGGGATGCAAACTCAAAATTGAATACATTTCAGCTCTATATCTGACATGGTACAGATGTCTTCTTTTTTTAAGCCCATAACCATGTGTGTGAGGTGTATACTTTTGTTTCAAAGTAGATTTGTTTAAGACTACCAAGAAACACTCTGTGTGACCCTGATTCAGCCCACTGCAGTAAAAGGTAATTAACTTGATTTGCAGCGACTCAACAAGTCTTGCACCTTTAACTTGATTCATATGGACATAAGTCATGTCTCTTTAACTTGATTCACAAATTAGCATGGTTCATGTATATTTAATTCAACACAAGAACATGGCTCATGTTCTGATTCTGATTCATTACTTTATTCTGACACGTACTGTATCCGGACGGACATGGACATACTGTATGTACAAATGGCTCATGTATCTTTCAGACAAATGTACTGAATGAATGACAGGAGGGACTTGGAGGAGTCACCTATGAGACACGGTTGACAGGCAGCAAAAGACAGACGGAGGGAGATACAGAGACTTCTCATACACAACTGGGAACTAGACAGGGAGAGAGAGATAAAATGAGGGTGAGAGAGAGAGCGAGAGAGAGAGAGAGAGGGGGGGGGGGGGTTGAGGTGTTTCAGCTGTTGATGGGGAGAGAGAGGCAGTCAAGGGGGAGAGAGAGAGAGAGAGGGGCAGAGACAGACACAAAGAGATAATCAGAGATGACAGAGAAAGGCTGAGAGAGAGAGAGAGAGAGAGAGAGAGAGAGAGAGAGAGAGAGAGAGAGAGAGAGAGGAGAAGGAAAGACAAAGAGGCAGAGACACAGAGACATAGAGAGGCAGACATAGACAGAGACAGAAAGAGAGAGAGGGGGAGAAAGAGAAGAGAGAGAATGAGAGGCAGAGAGACACTGAGGATAGAGAGAAGCAGATGGACAGAAAGAGGCAGGCAGAGAAATAGAGAGAGAAGGAGATGGAGAGAAAGAAGCAGAGAGAGAGCGAGAGAGAGAGAGAGAGAGAGAGAGAGAGAGAGCAGTGAGAGAGAGAGAGAGAGAGAGAGAGAGAGCAGTGAGAGAGAGAGAGAGAGAGAGAGAGAGAGAGAGAGAGAGAGCAGTGAGAGAGAGAGAGAGAGAGAGCAGTGAGAGAGAGAGAGAGAGAGAGAGAGAGAGAGAAGCAGCCAGCAGCAGCAAGTGCCAGTCCTCTGCCACAGCTGAGCAGTTCTCCCCCCTGAGAGTTCTGAAGGAGCACCTCCGCTCTCCTCACCTGATCCTGTCTGGCACCCTCTGCGTCTGGTTGCCATCTGTCTGGCAGTTGCCTGCGAAGAAGTGTGGCCCTCGGGCCCAGCCGTACTCCTTCCTCAAAGCCATGGCTCCGTGGGTCAGCACAGACACCCCTTTGGCGATCCTCCTGCGGGGCTCGTCCCTCCAGCCCTGCGGACGCACTGCGAACAAGGCCTTGGGGAGGCCCTCCAGGCCAAGGCCGGACAGGGCTGGCCCCACGGCGAACCACATGTGGGAGTGTCCGGCCTGACCCGAGGCCCAGGCCGCCTTGAAGATCAGTGCGGCCTCCTCCTGGGAGCAGTAGAGGAGACGCACCTGGAAGGAGCGGGGGAGGAGGATGGGAAGAAGAGGGTAGGGGGAGGGGGGGGGGGGAGCGAGCGGTTAAGTGGGAGTCTTGTTGGACCGAACTAGGTCAAATGATGTCAGTCACACTGTGGCAGTTTTGGGGGAGTTGCTGACCCCATTCACTGCCCTCTTTGAAAACATCTCAATTCAGACCATTTCCCACTCAGGCTGCAGCAGTGGACAGTATTTTGAGCATAATGTCATATTATTTTTTTCTTTTTAAATTCTATTATTTCTTATTTACATACAGTGCCTTGCAAAAGTATTCATCCCCCTTAGCATTTTTCCTATTTTGTTGCATTACAACCTGTCATTTTTATTTGCATTTAATGTAATGGACGGCATTAATCAGAGAGGCAACAAAGAGACCAAATATAGCCTTGAAGGAGCTGCAAAGCTCCACAGCAGATATTGGAGTATCTGTCCATAGGACCACTTTAAGCCAAACACTCCACAGAGCTGGGCTTTTCGGAAGAGTGGCCAGAAAAAAGCCATTGCTTAAAGAAAGAAATAAGCAAACACGTTTGGTGTTCGCCAAAGGGCATGTGGGAGACTCCCCAAACATATGGAAGAAGGTACTCTGGTCAGATGAGACTAAAATTGAGCTTTTTGGCAATCAAGGAAAATGCTATGTCTGGCGCAAACCCAACACCTCTCATCACCCCGAGAACACCATCCCCAGAGTGAAGCATGGTGGTGGCAGCATCATGCTGTGGGGATGTTTTTCATCGGCAGGGACTAGGGAAATACAGGGAAATTCTTGAGGGAAACCTGTTTCAGTCTTCCAGAGATTTGAGACTAGGACAGAGGTTCACCTTCCAGCAGGACAATGACCCTAAGCATACTGCTAAAGCAACACTTGAGTGGTTTAAGGGGAAACATTGAAATGTCTTGGAATGGCCTAGTCAAAGCCCAGACCTCAATCCAATTGAGAATCTGTGGTATGGCTTAAAGATTGCTGTACAGCAGCAGAACCCATCCAACTTGAAGGAACTGGAGCAGTTTTACATTGAAGAATGGGCATAAATCCCAGTGGCTGGATGTGCCAAGCTTATAGAGACATAGCCCAAGAGACTTGAAGCTGTAATTGCTGCAAAAGGTGGCTCTACAAAGTATTGACTTTGGGGGGGGGGGGGGTGAATAGTTATGCACGCTCAAGTTTTCAGTTTTTTTGTCTTATTTGTTGTTTGTTTCACAATCAAAAATATTTTGCATCTTCAAAGTGGTAGGCATGTTGTGTAAATCAAATGATACAAACCCCCCACAAATCCATTTTAATTCCAGGTTGTAAGGCAACAAAATAGGAAAAATGCCAAGGGGGTGAATACTTTCGCAAGCCACTGTATGTGTCAAAAAGACCATCTACAGCAGGGTTTCAATTACATGGAAGAAAATCCTAAATTCACCATCCCAGGTCTAACTATTTTAAGTATTCCAGTTAATTTATTAAGTATTCTGAAAAATTGGCAGAATGTCTTAGCATATTTCCAAGACAGGTGATTGGAGTGTCTTTCAGGTAATTGGATACCAAGACAATTCTGTACTAATTAGACTCCACAGCAGGGTCCCCGGGAACAAGGTGGAGAAAGACTGTCCTGCTGTACAGGTACACTGCAATGAAAGGACGACGGCATGAAATACAACAAAGGTCCCCACAGTCCTGTGCCTGGGGCTGGTATAGCGGGTTGAGCTACCATCTGCAGCACAGTCTGATGGTCTATGGAGCTTTTAGCGCAGACTGGGAATGCACAGGACATTTACATTTAAGTCATTTAGCAGACGCTCTTATCCAGAGCGACTTACAGGAGCAATTAGGGTTAAGTGCCTTGCTTAAGGGCAAATTGACAGATTTTTCACCTACTCGGCTCGGGGATTAGAACCAGCGACCTTTCGGTTACTGGCACAACGCTCTTACCCACTAAGCTACCTGCCGCCCAACCGGACACAACTGCATGTTTACACTTTCAGTGTGGGATCCAACCCCAGTCACACAGCTATTCAGTGTGGGATCCAACCCCAGTCACACAGCTATTCTGTAGTCTCCCTTCTACCTTCAACCCTGTCTAAAGAAATAAAAATGACTAAATGATTAAGAAGAGTGAATAAAAAGGTCCCCAGTGTAGACCTGGGTTCAATCCCCAGCGTCTGTCCTTCCTGTGTCTCCCCTCTTCATCAGTATTCCCCTCTACTTCTGTACCATTAGAAAAAGATGAAGCATAAAAATAAGGCAAATAAAAAAAATGGAAGGTCGTCGCCGTCTCACCTGCGCCTCGTTCTCCTTGAGCAGCCTGCGTGTGCGCGTCCCTCCCGGGTCGTCGGTGACGTTGAGCATGACCACGCCCTTCTTCTCCCAGCCGATGAAGGATCCGTCCGTCAGGCCCTCCACCATGGCCAGGAAGTCCTCGTAGCCATGGTGACGTGTAGCCACCACGGAGAAGGAGGTCCAGTCAAACTCCTCCAGCACCTCGAAGATCACGTCCAGCTGCATGGCTGTGGAGCAGGTGAACTGGAGGTAGATGGAGCCACTCTCCTAAAGAGTGAAATGGGTTTTCAGGACACGGAAAGAGAAAGAGAGTGCAGTGAACTGGAGGACGGTGCTGTCTCCTAGAGGGTTGTGTTCAGTAGGGAGAAAACATTTTGAAGCTGAGTGAAATGGGGAGGTAGTAAGTGAACAGAGTTTTATTTTCTGCTTTTGCCTCCTGAGACCCCCCAAAAAATAACATTTTGGGGGGATTACATATATATTTTTTACATATCAGAAGTATTTGGGGTGAGAAAAAACATGTTACCAAGAAAAGAATGTGAAAAAATATTGTTATTTATCTTTTATTGTAAGTGCAAAATTGTTCTCTGTAGTGGTCATTAGGACGTAAATATTATACATTTACATTACAGTCAATGGGTACAGCAGCTGAAAAACATTTACATTACAGTCAATGGGTACAGTAGGTGAAAAACCTAGTTGCGGCATCCGGGACCACTACAGAGGACATTTCTTGATAAGCTCTTAATTTAGCTCTTCTTTCATGTGAAAAAAGTTCTACACGGTCCTGAAAACCCACTTAACTATTCCTGAGATATTCACTTACTAGAAGCAATTTCAATATCAAACTCACAAAAATTATCATTAATAATTACACACACTTCGTAAAATTGTTCCATTAAATGTGCTAATTTTCACGCCAGCCATTTTTCAAAGAACCAGGAAGATAAAGTTGTCAAGGTCACACCCCCACGCATGTGATATCATTGAAAAGCCCAGAATGTCCTCTCAAATAATACAGTGGCCTGTATGGCCTCAGCGATACGGACCAAGAACGGATGTCCACTAGAGAGGACAAAAATGAATTGCTGGGTCTCAGGAGGATAGAAGAGGAATCAAGGCCTCGTATTCACAATGAGTCTCAGAGTAGGAGTGCTGATATAGAATCAGTTTTGCATTTTAGATCATAATGAGTAAGATACATGGACAGGAGAGACCTGATCCTAGATCAGCACTCCTACGCTGAGACGTTTTATGAATACAGTGGAGTCCAGTATCTTGTTTAATAGGGAGAACACATTTTGTAAAAGTGTGAAACGAGGAGGTAGTATCTGAACTTGTCCAATAAGAACACAGTTTCTCCCTACTGAACATGGTCCATGTTGAGAGTAAGGTAAAGTGAGAATGACAGTGTGAGCTTAATTCAATCCTACACGCTTAGTCCAGTTGCTTAGTCTGATAAAGGTCTTTTTAGACCATAACGTTGGTTAGAAAGATCCATTAAAGTTGTGGTGCATCAAGTTTTTTACCTATTCAGTGGTTTTACATTCATGCCATTGCAATTTTACCCATGGTTAAATAGGCCTATAATCACACAATGTCTATGGGTACTATAAAAACCCTACTACAGCTGCTACCCTCAGGTAGACTCATTTCAAAGCTTCCTGTTTTAAGAGTAACTACATGCGTAGATAGTAGTTTTTACACAAAGACACCGCGCGAACATCGATATGGCCATTGTAATTGAATTCCAGTCTCAATAGCCTTCCTCCCTTTCTTTGTCTGTCTTGTGTAGACATGTGACAGGGACTACTGTGATGTCTTTCCAGTACAATCCTGCAGTATGTCCCAAATGGCAACCTATTCCCTTTATAGTGCATTACTTTTGACCAGAGCCTTATGGGCCCTGGTTAAAAGTAGTGCACTATGTAGGGAATAGGGTGTCGTTTGGAACACACCATGTATCTCCCTTTGTTTTTTTTTTACCAGATGTGTGTTAAATTATTAGTTATTCACTGTGCCACTATTTCTATTTTTTATAAAAAATTGTAATCTTATCTTTAACTCTGCATTGTTAGAAAAGGCCCTGAAAGTAAGCATTTCACTGTTAGTCTACATCTGTTGTCTATTTGACAAATCATTTTTATTTCATTTTATTTCAATTAAAAAGACGTGCCTTCCTCTCCTTGACTCCTTTCCTTTATCTTCACTGATCTGACCAGACTGGACAAGTAAAAGTGATATGAGGAAAGCCTACAATTGTCCAGTTCTTTTAGATTAGATTAGGATAAGAACAGATTGAGGAATGGAGAGAGGAATGGAAGACACTGTACTGAAAGGTTTAAGAAAAAGTAGAGGATAAGGTTTCTAGAACCTTATACATAAGACAGACAAGATAACAGAGGCATAGATGGGTAAAGACACTTAAAAATGTTTTTTGTTAGAAAATACAAAATACTTTTGCCAAGTAATGTATTGAATTAAAATATGTGCAAGTAGCCCCATTAACTACAACAACATTCTCAGTAACGATTACAGAAACGTTGTACTTGCTATGACTGTGATGTCGTTGTTTATCTACCTTAGTTGAATTCACTGACTGCTGTAAGACACTCTGGATAATAGTGTCTGCTAAATGACCAAAATGTAAATGTGTAAAAATGAGCACTTGCAAAGCACATTGGGTATTATTTTCTAATGAGCTCTGCCCCCAAACAATTAGTATTTTAATCAAATGTGGACTTGTTTGTGGGCAGAGCTCATTCAAATAATACCCAGTGTGCTATGCAAGTGTTCATTTTAAAATTCTGGTCATTTATCAGACACTCTTATCATACCCTAGTGCCATCATACTTCTGATACCAATGCAGCAAATTTGGGGTGATAGGGGGCCACAAAATTGTGAACCGCTATAAAAACAATGGTACAGAAAAGTATTTTGTATTGTCCCAAACTCGGACCTGGGGACCCCAAGTAGTGCACATTTTGTGTTTTGCCCTAGCACTACACAACTGATTCAAATAAACAAATATTGATGATTAGTTGATTACTTGAATCAGCTGTGTAGTGCTAGGGCAAAAAACTAAATGTGCACCCCTTGGGGTCCCCGGGACCGAGTTTGGGAAACACTGCTCTAAAGTATCTTGTTACAAAATACATTGGATTGTAGTTCAGGACAGTGAAATACAAATGACAAAATACTCAAAAGTAATTGAAATAGGTATTTCAAATACATGTAACAGAAATACTGCCCATCTCTGAACAGAGGGATACAATTTAGAAGGAACTACACTACTAGTCAAAAGTTTGGACACACCTACTCATTCAAGGGTTTTTCTTTATTTTTACTATTTTTTACATTGTAGAATAATAGTGAAGACATCAAAACTATGAAATAACCCATATGGAATCATGTAGTAACCAAAAAACTGTTAAACAAATCAGAATGTAGTTTATATTTGAGATTCTTCAAATAGCCACCCTTTGCCTTTATGACAGCTTTCCACACTCTTGGCATTCTCTCAACCAGCTTCACCTGGAATACTTTTCCAACAGTCTTGAAGGAGTTCCCACATATGCTGAGCACATGTTGGCTGCTTTTCCTTCACTATGCCGTCCGACTCATCCCAAACCATCTCAATTGCGTTGAGGTCGGGGGATTGTGGAGGCCAGGTCATCTGATGCAGCACTCCATCACTCTCCTTCTTGGTAAAATAGCCCTTACACACCCTGGAGGTGTGTTGGGTCATTGTCCTGTTGAAAAACAAATGATAGCCCCACTAAGCCCAAACCAGATGGGATGGCGTATGCAAAGAGTCAATATTTGCAGTATTGACCCTTCTTTTCAAAACCTCTGCAATCCGCCCTGGCATGTTGTCAATTAACTTCTGGGCCACATCCTGATTGATGGCAGCCCATTCTTGCATAATCAATGCCTCCTTGCTCGCACATGCTTTTTCCAGTTCTGCCCACAAATCTTCTATAGGATTGAGGTCAGGGCTTTGTGATGGCCACTCCAATACCTTGACTTTGTTGTCCTTAAGCCATTTTGCCACAACTTTGGAAGTATGCTTGGGGTCATTGTCCATTTGGAAGACCCATTTGCGACCAAGCTTTAACTTCCTGACTGATGTCTTGAGATGTTGCTTCAATATATCCACATAATTTTCCTTCCTCATGATGCCATCTATTTTGTGAAGTGCACCAGTCCCTCCTGCAGCAAAGCACCCCCACAGCATGATGCTACCACCCCCGTGCTTCACGGTTGAGATGGTGTTCTTCGGCTTGCAAGCATTCCCCTTTTTCCTCCAAACATAACGATGGTCATTATGGCCAAACAGTTCTATTTTTGTTACATCAGACCAGAGGACATTTCTCCAAAAAGTACGATCTTTGTCCCCATGTGCAGTTGCAAACTGTAGTCTGGCTTTTTTATGGCGGTTTTGGAGCAGTGGCTTCTTCCTTTCTGAACGGCCTTTCAGGTTATGTCGATATAGGACTCATTTTACTGTGGATATAGATACTTTTGTACCTGTTTCCTCCAGCATCTTCACAAGGTCCTTTGCTGTTGTTCTGGGATTGATTTGCACTTTTGGAAATTGCTCCCAAGGATGAACCAGACTCGCAGAGGTCTAGAATTATTTTTCTGAGGTCTTGGCTGATTTCTTTGGATTTTCCCATGATGTTAAGCAAAGAGGCACTGAGTTTGAAGGTAGGCCTTGAAATACATCAACAGGTACACCTCCAATTGACTCAAATTATGTCAATTAGCCTATCAGAAGCTTCTAAAGCCATGACATCATTTTCTGGAATTTTCCAAGCTGTTTAAAGGCACAGTCAACTTAGTGTATGTAAACTTCTGACCCACTGGAATTGTGATACAGTGAATTATAAGTGAAATAATCTGTCTGTAAACAATTGTTGGAAAAATTACTTGTGTCATGCACAAAGTAGATGTCCTAACTGACTTGCCAAAACTATAGTTTGTTAACAATACATTTGTGGAGTGGTTGAAAAACAAGTTTTAATGACTCCAACCTAAGTGTATGTAAACTTCCGACTTCAACTGTACATTTTTCAGAAAGCTACAGTGCATTCGGAAAGTATTCAGACCCCTTGACCTTTTCCACATTTTGTTACATTACAGCCTTACTCTAAAATTATCAATCTACACACAATACCCCATAATGCAATATTTTTGCAAATGTATAAAAAATTAGAAACTGTAATATCACATTTACATAAGTATTCAGACCCTTTACTCAGTACTTTGTTGAAGCACCTTTGGCAGCGATTACAACTTGAGTCTTTTTGGGTATGACACTACAAGCTTGGCACACCTGTATTTGGGGAGTTTCTCCCATTCTTCTCAGCAGATCCACTCAAGCTCTGTCAGGTTGGATGGGGAGCATCACTGCACAGCTATTTTCAGGTCCACTAGAGATGTTAGATCGGGTTCAAGTCCGGGCTCTGGCTGGGCCACTCAAGAACATTCAGAGACTTGTCCCGAAGCCACTCCTGCGTTGTCTTGGCTGTGTGCTTAGGGTCGTTGTGCTGTTGGAAGGTGAACCTTCGCCCCAGTCTGAGGTACTGAGTGCTCTGGAGCAGGTTTTCATCAAGGATCTCTCTGTACTTTGCTCTGTTCCTCTTTCCCTCGATCCTGACTAGTCTCCCAGTCCCTGCCGCTGAAAAACAGTCCCACAGCATGTTGCTGCCACCACCATGCTTGTGCCAGGTTTCCTCCAGATGTGACGCTTGGCATTCAGGCCAAAGAGTTCAATTTTGGTTTCATCAGACCAGAGAATCTTGTTTTGTCTGGCCACTCTATCATAAAGGCCTGATTGGTGGAGTGCTGCAGAGATGGTTGTCCTTCTGGAAGGTTCTCCCATCGCCACAGAGGAACTCTGGAGCTCTGTCAGAGTGGCCATCGGGTTCTTGGTCACCTCCCTGACCAAGGCCCTTCTCCCCCGATTGGTAACTTTGGTCGGGCGGCCAGCTATAGGAAGAGTCTGGTGGTTCCAAACTTCTTCCATTTAAGAATGCTGGAAGCCACTCTGTTCTTGGGGACCTTCAATGCTGCAGACAGTTTTTGGTACCCTTCCCCAGATCTGTGCCTCGACACAATCCTGTCTCGGAGCTCTACGGACAATTCCTTCGACCTCATGGCTTGGTTTTTGCTCTGACATGCACTGTCGACCTTATATAGACAGGTGTGTGCCTTTACAAATCATGTCCAATCAATTGAATTTACCACAGGTGGACTCCAATCAAGTTGTAGAAACATTTTAAGGATGATCAATGGAAACAGGATGCACCTGAGCTCAATGTCGAGTCTCATAGCAAAGGGTCTGAATAATGATGTAAATAAGGTATTTCTGTTTTTGATTTTTTATAAACCTGTTTTCGCTTTGTCATTATGGGGTATTGTGTGAGATTGATGATTTAAAAAAAATCAATTTTAGAATAAGGCTGTAACGTAACAAAATGTGGAAAAAGTCAAGGGGTCTGAATGCTTTCCGAATGCACTGTGCACAATTAACAAGGCCAAGTGATACTTGAATGAAGCCTGTAATTGTAGAAAGGTTCACAGTTGGATATGTGTACAAAAATAGGTTAAGCATCAAATTATACATTTGAGTTTGAGAAGAAAGACTGATTAAAGGTGCTAGGCAAAGGTCTGGGTTGCCTTTAAGGGTTGGGTTATCCCAAATAGGACTGGGTTGCGAATAAGCGTATACAGTGGCTTTCAAAAGTATTCACCCCCCATTTTTCCTATTTTGTTGCCTTACAACCTGGAATTAAAATGGATTTTGGGGGGATTTGAATCAATTGATTTACCCAACATGCATACCACTATGAAGATGCAAAATATTTTTGGGGGTGAAACAAACAAGAAATAAGACAAAAAAACAGACAACTTGAGCGTGCATAACTATTCACCCCCTCAAGTCAATACTTTGTAAAGCCACCTTTTGCAGCAATTACAGCTGCTAGTCTCTTGGGGTATGTCTCTATAAGGATTTTTGCCCATTCTTCAAGGCAAAACTGCTCCAGCTCCTTCAAGTTGGATGGGTTCCGCTGGTGTACCGCAATCTTTAAGTCATACCACAGATTCTCAATTGGATTGAGGTCTGGGCTTTGACTTGGCTATTCCAAGACATTTAAATGTTTCCCCTTAAACCACTCAAGTGTGGCTTTAGCAGTATGCTTAGGCTCATTGTCCTGCTGAAAGGTGAACCTCTGTCCCAGTCTCAAATCTCTGGAAGACTGAAACAGGTTTCCCTCAAGAATTTCCCTGTATTTAGCGCCATCCATCATTCCTTCAATTCTGACCAGTCCCTGCCGATGAAAAACATCCCCACAGCATGATGCTGCCACCACCATGCTTCACAGTGGGGATGGTGTTCTCGGGGTGATGAGAGGTGTTGGGTTTGCGCCAGACATAGTGTTTTCCTTGATGGCCAAAAAGCTCAATTTTAGTCTCATCTGACCAGAGTACCTTCTTCCATATGTTTGGGGGGTCTCCCACATGCCTTTTGGCGAACACCAAACGTGTTTGCTTATTTTTTTCTTGAAGCAATGGCTTTTTTCTGGCCACTCTTCCGTAAAGCCCAGCTCTGTGGAGTGTACGGCCTAAAGTGGTCCTATGGACAGATACTCCAATCTCCGATGTGGAGCTTTGCAGCTCCTTCAGGGTTATCTTCGGCCTCTTTGTTGCCTCTGATTAATGCCCTCCTTGCCTGGGCCGTGAGTTTTGGTGGGCGGCCCTCTCTTGGCAGGTTTGTTGTGGTTCCAGATTCTTTCCATTTTTTAATAATGGATTTAATGATGCTCCGTTGGATGTTCAAAGTTTCTGATATTTTTTATAACCCATCCCTGACCTGTTTGGAGAGCTCCTTGGTCTTCATGGTGCCACTTGCTTGGTGGTGCCCCTTGCTTAGTGGTGTTGCATACTCTGGGGCCATTCAGAACAGGTGTATATATACTGAGATTATGTGACAGATCATGTGACACTTAGATTGCACACAGGTGGACTTTATTTAACTAATTATGTGACTTCTGAAGGTAATTGGTTGCACCAGATCTTAATTAGGGAATTCATAGCAAAGGGGGTGAATACATACCACTTTTCCATTATTTATTTTTTCGCATTTTTTTCACTTCACCAATTTGGACTATTTTGTGTATGTCCATTACATGAAATCCAAATAAAAAATATTTAAATTACAGGTTGTAATGCATCAAAATAAAACGCCATGGGGGATGAATACTTTTGCAAGGCACTGTAAGTACACTTAGACAGGATATGCCATTGAGAGAGTCTCTAAAGGTAGGGTTGCACAACTCCTCGAGGGCCACTCTCTCTGTTGTCTGTTTCATCAGTGGCTGATTTTGACCTTTGTAAACCAAGTGTTGAACCCTCCCAGCAATCAGTGACATTAATTGTTCAATTATAGTAAGTACCAGGCAGACACAAAAAGCAGCAGGACTGCGGCCCTCGAGGCCTGAAGTAGTGTTCTCCTACTCAGACCACACTGTATACAGCGGGCAACAATTGTTGAAAAGATGACGTCATCATACTAGTTGTATAAGGGGGACGTTTTGTGATTATTTTTTTAGCAACCAGATAACAACCAAAATACAACGTCTTTCCCATGATGTCTTGAAAAATACATCTTTACCTGGTTGTAACAGAGACCAGTTGGTTGCAATCTGATTTTATGACGTCTTCTCAACCAGAAACCCAGTTTACAACCAGAAAATGAAGAAGCCAAATTCTGCCCACTGGGTAAGATGAGGCTTCAAACACACAGTAACTTAGGACTTGTTCTGGAAAATGCAATAATTCTGCCACGACAGACTGATTGATTACTTGAAGTCCATTAAAAATGGAAAGGTCACAGCCAGGTAGTTACCTGAGGCTCCCTGCCCAGGCCGGCCCCTCCTCCCACAGCCACAACGGGCACTCCGGTCTGGGCCGAGACAAACTCCATCATGGGGGCCAGGGGAGCCTGGTTGGGTGGTGGGGGCCTCTCCTCCTCGAACACCAGGCCCTGGAGCGGTGTGGTCGCCAGCAGTTCACACAGCTGCAGCAGAAGGCTCGCCGGGCTGCTCTCGTTCACCGTCAGGTATATCACGTTGGCCGGGCCATACTGCGTCATCACGCTGTCGCCCACCAGAGCCACCGACGCAGACGCCAGCGGCGTGGACGCCGCCACCGTAGCCAATGACGACGAGGCCCCCCTTCCCTGAGGCCCCCCAGGCCCGCCCGTGGCGCCCGTTCCCCCAGAAGCGGCCGTCTCCGGGAGCAGGGAGGAGCCCGAGTGGACCACAGCGATGTTGACTACGCCCAAGTCCCTCTCTCTCTCCCGGGGGCGGAGCAGGAGGGGAGGGGAGGAGCGGGCGGGCCCCGTGCAGGCCAGCACGGCCAACAGGAGGGAGAGGGCGGGCTTGGCCGCCATGGGGGAGGGAGGGGGCGTAGTTTGGTGGGCGGAGCGGCGGCGGTTCACAGGCGAAGAGGGACCTGAAGTGGAGAGACGAGAAGAAAGTACAGGTTAGTGAGGAGAGGAGCAATGATACGCATAGATGTAAGTAGGAGCTGCAGTGGTGAGGGATACTATTGAAAAACAATCAAGTGGAAGAGAGGGGGGGTAGGCGTAATGGGAAAAGGGGCGTCATTGAGCCTCATCTACAAAGAGCAGTTTTCAACAGGGAAGGGGAGAGAAGGAGTGTGTGTGAGAGAGAGAGAGAGAGAGAGAGAGAGAGAGAGAGAGAGAGAGAGAGAGAGAGAGAGAGAGAGAGAGAGAGAGAGAGAGAGAGAGAGAGAGAGAGAGAGAGAGAGAGAGAGAGAGAGAGAGAGAGAGAGAGAGAGTAAGTCGCAGTGGGGCAGAGAGATTGTGCTAGACAGGGGGGTGGATGAAATGAGAAGGGGGGTCCTGCATCCCCTACCATATGATCGATCAACATCAATTAAGGTCAGTGTAAGTGCAGAGCCAAGTACAGTGAACTATAGAGGAACATAAGCTCACTGCTTAGGAACTATAGTAGGAGTGCTCACCCCTTGAACTCAACCCTCCCCCTTACAGGACATCAGAATTCATTACCCCAGGAGCTGATTCATGGTTCGGTCCCACACCATTGGAGAGCTTTGAAGCTAAGCTATAGATCTTTGCAGCCATAAACCACCAACGGGTACTGTACATCTAAATGGACCGGGCTAAATCACAATACAAATAAAACTGGGGAGGGGTGAATAGTTTAGTCGAGGTAGGTGTGTATGCACGTTTTTATAAACAATTGTGTTTGAGGTGGGAAAATGCTCTGTGCAGTCGAATCAGGCTATGGGACTGTACACAAAATGTAAGGAGATGTAAAGCAACGAACACTCAATTAATCATTTTGAAGTCGCTTAGCGTGCCAACCCCCACGCCACCCCCCCTCCTTCTCATCCCCCCCTTCCATTCACTCTCTTTAATTAACCCTCCCTCTCTCCTCGGGGCACACACAAATACACACAGTCGAAAAAAACACTCTCTCCAGATCACTAACACACAGAGCAACGTGCATACACAATCAGTATCTGTCACTCCGTCTCATATTGCCCGTTTATTCTCCTAGCGTCCGTGGCTAATGTCATTGCTTTGAACCAGAAGGCTTGCTGACGTAATGCTCTCTTCACTCCCCCAAACCAACAGCTTCTTTCTGCCTCGTTCTCTCACTCTCTCTCTATCTAATTCCATTTTCACGACCCTCCTTTTGATGCCGAGTCATCATCTGAGGAAGAAATGCATAAAAAGAGGGGGATCACAATGATGTGATCGATTTTGGGGGAAAGGGGGGACAAACAAAAATAAACTGTAGCTGTCGTGGAATAGAGAGAGCAAATATAGGAGTGAGCCTGTGAGCCAGATAGCCACAGTGGCTGGAAAGTGAAAGAGAAGGCAATAAAGTACAGCTAGAGGATATACTGTGTATATACGGAGGGTAGAAAGAGAAATATTTAACACTACCCTCAATATACCATTCAGACAGACCCAGACCTCGGCCCGAATGAGTGAAAAATGGCTCACCCGAACCCGGCCTGTTGCATAATTCAGTTGGATATTACTACTCCCTACCCCAGTTAAGCCTATGGGCAGAACCTGCCATGAAACCTAACGGCCTCACCATTTTTCACAGGGAGAAAGACTCTTAAATATGTTTCCCCGGCCCAGCCAGAAGGTCATGCGGCTGAGTCCAGTACACACCGTAGTAAACCAATACAGACCTTATGAAACCAGTACAAACCACACAGGTTCTGTACTCAGTCCGCAGGGCATAGGGATTAATCCAGTTCAAACCATATGAAACCAGTCCACCCCAGTACAGACACAGGTTCTGTACTCAGTTCGAAGGGCATACGGCTAAATCCAGTACAAACCACACTACAGACCATACATACAGGTTCCGGATCAATCATTCCAGGCTAGCATTCCATCCGCTGGCCCTAACACCACTCAGCTTGTGTTGTCACACCCCAGAGCTCTCATATACAGGAGTTTTATGGTCTTCCCCTGGCATGGAGTGCATTGTTTGTTGCCTATGTTAAATGGGCCCTGCGGTATCATGGCCGTAGAGTGGTATAGTGGTTAGGGAAATGGCGTTGGGAGAAGATGCTTAGTGGTTCAGAGTACAGGTCTGAGTTGCTGTACGCTGTGGCTCCCCATAGGTTGCTGTACAACATACAACTGCATGAATGGATAATGCATATCCTGGCTGGCATAAGCAGTTTCAGCTGTAAGAACTCTGTAGCGACGTTACCTATCCAGGCATTAGCATACAGGCTTTACATCCTTGAACTCCTCACCATATCTATTTGTCTTGGTTGTCAACGGTTTATAGTCCTAATGGGTTTTACAACATGAATAGATGTCCTCATATTTCCCCTCTAAAAGCCCCTGCATCTTGTGTGACGGTCGTATTGCATGTTCATCTCCAACAGGAATCTTCTGTGAAGATCATATAGCATGGTCAGCTCAAAACGCTCTCCGGAGAGAACGGGATAACCGATAGCCATTAGTAACTGCACTGACCATGAAGGAAACAGAGGGGCAGAGCTTTATGGCCGTCTAAGTGTTGCCAGACTTTCTGCTCTTGTCCAGAGCAGCACGAGGGTTATGAGGAACTGTCTGTCCCTGTCTTACTCCAAATGGCATCCGCTGGCGCTGTGGCACACAGAGACACCATTAACAGGAGTGTAATGGGCTGTCACGTGTGCTCAAAACATCTCATGACCCAAAAGTCAGGGCCCTACCTAATAAGTGTACAGATGACTTGACTAGCCCCCTGACACACATAAGGACATTCACCCACACAAACACACGCTCTCACACGCAAACACACACACACCCTCATACACACACAATCTTATACACACTCACACAGAGTAAGATGAAATTCAATTTTGTCAAAGCAAACTGCTTTTCAAGGCACTCCGTGACACCATGTCTGACAGAAATGGAATTTCACGCAGTTAAAGATGTCTTCCTCCTGCTACAACATCTACTGTAGGTACAGGTCGATGCACTTGTAATATGTACATTGTCATTCAGACTGGCGGTTACTATATTTATCTTGTTCTATTTCTATATCTATATATATATATATATATAAAATAAAATAAATCCCCTTGAGGTGATCTGTCTTGTTTCCAAGGAAGTCCCAGGAGAACAACTGAACAGATACAGGGCTCCTTGAGCTTTAAACACGTAAACGTACCTATTTTTCTTTAACAACAAATATACTCCAATTCCCTCACACTGAGCACAGCAGTTAGTTATGCAACGCTACTTTACGTAGTTAAGATAAATGGCATAAAGGATTTGCCTGGATGAAATACAATCATTACTTTACGCACTAGTATTTCTCTTTCAATTTTGCACCAAATAAGGACACACAAGAAGCAATATTTATAATTTCCTACTGATTTTGTGGTTGAAAATGAGGAATATCGCATTCCAATTTATTGGGGATGTGATGCATTACCTCATGCATCCTCTTTGCATGAAAGTAATTTGGTGGTGGAAATTGTACTGGGAACAAACCTTGCCCCATAGCACTCTGCATACAAAGGAGCAATATTATTTACATAAATAATTGCTACTCTAAAAATACATATCACATTGCATTTGCTGAGGGTCATTGGTGACATTCTTCATTTCCCATATGCTGCGGCTATGGATGGTGGGAGGGGAAGGAATGAATTAATGCAGGCCTGCTCGGCTCAGCACACAACACCGAGGAGGAAGCACAGAGGTATTTAACAGCGTCTGCTCTCTCTGCAAATAAGTAATCAACAGGCTAGCCAGTGACCTTGCTAACAATGTTTTTATAAACATTACCTTCATTAGATTTAAAGAGAAGCTGGTGAAGGGAGTTATGGGTAATGGGGCAGAGGAGACAGAGGGATGTATTTCGTCTATGATGGGATATATTTTTTCAGGAAATTACAGGGGAAGAAGGAAGGGTAAAAACGGGCAGTGAGAGAGCGAGAGGGGTGGAAGGGGAGGTGGGTAAGATGAAGGAGAGACATGAGGACAGACCAAGGATGGTGGGTGGGTGGGTGTGGGGATCTCGGTTGTCACGCCACAATAAGGAACCGGCAAAGGTGCCTATCTACATGCCCCATGCAGTGCCACCAAAGATTAACGACCTGTTGCATTCCCGGGCACAATGGAAACCCCCAAAGACTGGCCTTATTGTTACACAAAGCTTTATGACCAGCTTTATTAAATCCATGTCTGACAGTAGGCCTATTTATTTCAGATAGAAGTATGTAAAATGCCTTGGCTGTGATTTTGTGGTTTGGTGCTAAGGTGGAATTAAAGTTGTTGAAGGTAAACAGAGACAAAGAAATTGGCAGGGTCTGCACACAAACACACCTATTGCAGGGGAAATACGCCTGGGATAAACAATAGAACAATAGAGAAGAATAAAAAAATCTATACCAGAGACAACACACACACATCAACTCTATATTTCAGTCTCTATAAATTGTCTTTCTCTAATGCCTCATTCAGCTCCCTCGCTCTCTCGGTCTCTCTCTCTCTCTATTCCTAGACATGTACTGAACATACTGTACTGGGTTTTGAGCCAAAAACCTGCCTCTGTGAAAAAGGTCCACAGACGTATTCATCAAACGGTATTAATCGGCTCTGTCAGACTCACCCAACCAGCTGCCAATCAAGCAACTGACCAATAAACCTGCCTGTCAGTAGAACTGACTAAGAAAGAAATACAAAAACACAGCTGATGCGAGATGTGTAATCATTTGTGTTGGTCAGTGTCGTAGAGTAGCTGACTAAAGCTCAATTGCTCTCCTCAGAGGAAGCGAAATGAAGACAGACATTTCCAGTTGTACTGGTACAAGAGGCTGTGGCCTAGCAGGTCAAAGCAGTGACTTCATCAAGCCAAAGTGTGCAAATGAAATGTCAATTTACATTTGGACGAAGGGGATTTATGATCAATGCCGTTAGTCAAATGTTA